GAGGAACGCCGACTAACGAAGGTCTATATCCTGACAGACTACATTGGACTGGAGCTTACCGCTTCTTGTCCTCTCCTAGCGGACAGTGGTGCCGTGTGAGAACCATTAACACAGAAAACATGGGGCGGATGAAGAAACAAAAACAGCTCCAATGAGTCCTGGTACATTCTCACGATGTTGCCGTACTAGCTCGATATATTGTTCAAATAAAATTACTATCAACCGACTTCCCTGCAGCCTTGACCACCCAGCTGCCTACAAATTGATAAAATAACGTTGATAATTCGGACTAGCTCTCTATGTATTGCTTGGTAATTCCGCCAGCACACTACACATGTTTTTCGTATTCTGAAAGGTCTACAGAAGCTGTCCTATACACAGAAAAAAAAAGGACTCTTTACTGGAACATTTCTAAGAATAGATCGCGAAAGGCTTTTAGTAGATCTAGAGGCCAAACTACATCGGTCTGCATAGCTACTGTCGCCCCACGCGTTGCGCAGATCGTCAGTACTGGTTGTCATCTGAACGTTCCCTTCGGCCTACTTTGCCCTTTTCACCCCGTATAACTATGTGTAAACCACAGGCAGATCAATGTAACAGTTAACTCAGTGAGTAGAAGAAGAAGAGGTGATCACATGGACGCCTGACGTTTCGAAATTCGTTGCGGATTCTTCATCAGAGACAGAGACAATGACAGAAAGGGGTCCCAGTTAACTGAGTGTTTGTCTGCCAGCTACGACTCTCATAACGGACTCACTGAGTGCACATGTCGTCGGTCTACAACCTCGTCAGGGGGGAATAGTCACAACCTTGACAGTTCTAATCCTAATATGCTGCACGCGTGTTCGACCTCTGCACTGATGGGGGAGGAGATGCTCGTGCATTCCTGCCTGCAGTTTTCGACCAGTTTCATTCACGCAGGTGCACTCACTACAACTGCACCGAGGCATAAGACCAAGGACGACTTATCTGGGCTACCAAGTTTTGGATCAGGTCATGCACCCTGAAACATGCCGTTTGTGGTCAAGTGTTACTGTTATTTCTCCAACCAGCCTAGAATCAAAGCACCCTACAACGAAAACTGTTTTATTGAACAGCCATTTCGGCACCATCCGAGAAGCACTCACTGTCCAACAAAGCTAAATATCGCGTTTACACGTGCCACGTACGTCATCTGGACCTTAGCACTAAGTTGGTGCAGCTCATTCACCGAAGGCGGCAGGGGATCGTTGGAAAACAATGGGGAAAACAATTAGACCAACCTGGATTTCGTGCTGTTGTAGGTTGCTGGTTTGGCGAACTTGCCGCAGTTCCTCCTTTATCTGTTCCACGTGCGATTTGAGGTACTGGTTTTCATTGGACATGGCCTGAAAATTGGAGAAAAAAAGAGGGGAAATAAACTAAGACCTCATAACGACATTCTGTTCAACGGCCACCAGAGCAGACTCACTGGCGACCCCCACGAACAACTTACCGCCGTCGTACCAAGTTCCACGCGGTTGGAGCTGCAAGACAAAGCTGCAACGAAATGCAAAGGTGCAGAGATTATGAAGACTCGTTTATTTGCCTCACTTTGACTCAGATACCTGATCAAAAACAATCGTCAAAGTCATTATAGCCAATGCAGGTGAGATTATTCCGTCATTTGGGAACCTGGACTGGATGCACTGCTAACATCAAACACGCTTGAGCGCCAGTTATTCCGAAAGCGGTGAATATCGGCATGACCGGCCCTCCACGACGCTGTAGGCACCATGCACATCCGAAACTCAACAGGTAGGCAGTTCAACTCTGCCCTCCACCCCACCCCCAGATTGTTTATGGTTTAATGAACACTGTGCGGGAAGGTGAGCAATGCTACACAGGGCGTGCGAGAGTTTACTATCCATGTAATCCATCTGCCACGCACGGTGGGTCCGGATATCGGCTTCGTCTCAAATGGAACAGTCTGCACTCGATGTGACAGTATTGCGAGGTTATCTCAGGCCATTCAAGAACAACGACTGAGGCGGTTTGGGCACGTTCTCCGTTGTCCGCCTTTGTGCTTTGTTATGCTGCACCCGATCCAGCGCCGCAGCCCACCTGGAGGCGTCGACGAGTAGCGCAACTCAAAACTTGGTTCGACACCGTTCCTCAAGACATGGAAGCACTTCTTGGGTAGGTCTTTCCAGATCAGCTGTCGCTAATATTCGCGCGTGGAGAGGTACCGTCCGTGACATCACTCAGGTCGGTTAGACCAGACATGATCAAAGCCGTATCGAGTACCTGCACATCACGGCAAGCCACCGTTTGCCAGTAATCGTGTAGACTACGCTTCTATATTACGGTTAATATAAAACTGTGAGTGACGTTACCAACAGGGAAATTCGACGACTACAAAAAAAATAAGATTCGCTACTGTCGCACTCGGTGGTTGCAGATAAAACGCACGCGTGGTGGGGAGGGGGAGGGAGGCAGCGAAATTCAGCTTCACTATAGCTTCCTTGCAGTGAAGCAGAATTTCATTTCAACCCCTCCCGCATCTACCGGGATCCGGGGGCAAGACAAAGAAGAGGTGGGCCAACGCGTGCCTCCTGTCTGCCAAATACAAACATGCCCCCCTACGCGTGCCAAACACGACCTGACCCTAAGCTCTACACATATCAATTAGCACTTAGGAGTGAGTGAGTCAAAAATGGAGGCCGGTAAGTGTTTTTTTAGTCTGATTCGCAGTCCTGGATGAGAATGAGCTACTCTATCCAGTCGGCAATCTCCAAAGCCAAGCGCATCAGTTTTATTAGTAAGGAATACGCATGCGCATGCATAACTTGGTCATGAGGCAGACTTCCACAGCATTTACCAGACTCTCTCCTACCTCATCCTCCCTGCGATTATGTCAAGACGACCGCAGGTGAGCTCAGGCTGAGTAGCTAATAAGGCCAAACAGCCCGTCTACGTGTGCCAGGCGCCATCCGGTTCGGATCTAATCCGGTGCGTTCGAGTGCCACAAATCCAAAATCAATGGAAGCCACTGCAGCCCGACTCTCACTCTCTGGAAAGGCCAAGTTATTCGGTGAGCTGTCAACCTTCCAAGACCAGTGGTCGTAAAAAGACAGAGTAAACAGTAATCAAGAGACCAAAATGGTAGCTGTTTCAAGACCTGAGTGTTAGTTGACGATAGTGAGCTGAAGGGGGAACGCTGAATAATACGCCCGAAACAGTTGTGTAAGTCTGCCCTGTCTTTGCACCTGATGTGAGAAGTTGCCCTGTTGTCCAACGGAGGCTCGCTGGCCCGCAGCGGCGCCACGACAGGCATGTTGCAACATGTCCAGTCAGCGCAGGTGAGAAAGGTCAACGTGGCAGCCCTCATTCACGCTAAATTGGGACTTTCTTAGGGCTCTGTTAACTGTCACTGCTACTTGCTAAGGTCGATTTTTGGCTGTGGCTCAACGTGGCCTGACTAGCCGTGGCTGGCGAGACGACGAGGACAA